CCTAAAACGGAGCAATCTTGTTGTAAAACTGAATTTAAAATTAAGTGATCCTGAGTTATAAACCTCAGCGCTCGGTCATGTTTAACGCAGGTCTCAGAGTACGGATCCATGGATGTTGACACTTAATAAGAAATTGCAAGAGCACGAATGGCGGTCACGATTCTTAAATAACTATATGACCTGCAGTTGGAAATTTACTTATTTATCGATGCATTCCATCCAAACTGGCGTAAAACAGGAGTCTAACTACTAGAAGGCATCAAAATGGTTGCAGATGTCAAAGAAAAGCTAGATATATGGCGATACAGCAGGACTTGCTCTAAAGTTTTAATATCTATTATTTTTTCCTTTATAATCTTTTTAAGTATGTTATATCATGCAACGATTTTATGTTGTGTGTTGATATTTACTCCGTAGATAGCGATAATTTTTCGATACTCTACAGCGCGAAAGCCAGATAGTTGTGTTTAAACTTATCGAAGACTTATAGACACTTTATAAGCGCAGGAATTCCACCACTCTTTTTCTTTCCACGGGTGACTGAGTGTCATTATTGGTCAAGTATGTTCGACTAGGGGCTGGTCTTTGGGTAGAGATTTGACTTGCGTCCAGGCCTACCGTGTTGTAACTGTCTCCGGGTTTCACAAGAACTTCTTACCGCGGGTTTGCTGGACTTTAAAAAAAGGCTGGTCATTTAAAATTCTCTCTGGAGAGTTACAGAGAGAGCCTAAACATCCGTAAGAAGCTTCTGTCTCATAGAGAGCTTGGGCCACGTGTACCTGAATTTCACTCGGCGAGTGTAGTCGTCAATTGTACTCTGCATCACAGTTTTCGTTCTTACATCATTGATAGCTTTTTTACCAGATTGACTATCTTTGCCAGTATTTCTCTGAGAAAAAAAGAGAAAAAAAAAGAAAGGAAGCTTAAATGCGTATTTTCTACATTACATTATCAATGAAAAGCACAGTGTAAAGAAGGAAATGCTGAGATCGTTTTCCTTCACACCATCTCTTTTTTCTTGTCTAGGCCCTTTACTAAGTCACAATTCTTTTCACAATTCACAAGTCTTTTGGTGATAAGTATCCATAACAACAGAGAAATGCCGCAAGATGCATCTTTAAAAGAAAGCAGTTTCCTGAAAAACTAGACAATAACGTGACGTTACACAGCATATATATGTGCCGTGCATCAATTCAACGCAGAGTCAGGTCGAACGAAGAGAGCTGAAATCTATATTTTACCCGTTGCTCTATGTGGTAATAAGTGTCAGAAAGATCATGGAAGAGTTATATTTTTAACGAATCAATCTTTCCTGAATATTTCATGTAGCTAAGAGGAACATGAACCCTTAGTTACAACATTAGTTTTCGAAGCTCTCAATAAAGCCGTCTTGAGATGTAAACATCGTTCGCTTTAACCATCAGAGTCAAGCAACAAAGGTATTTCCAGATCGAACTGCTGTTGCGTTGATATAGATGTTACGACCAGTAAATGTCGAGGGGAACTTTTCATCGAGCACACCACGCCCGGCGAAAGGCATCAAGAATCTAACGTTATCTTTTTTCACTCTTTTTTTCTTCAATGGCTCGGTTCTCCAGTAGACGATATAGTACACAACGATTACAATACTTTCGAGTGAATATCCCGAACGGTATTTATTTGTCGAGACAACTCTATTGATGGAATCGAAAATAATGCCGAAACTAATTATGTCTTCTTGTCTTGAAAAAATACGAATGTACATAAAATACAAGAGCTCTTTTCAACGAACAATTCTTCGTTTTTATCATGTAAAAACGTTATCTTTGGCCCGTCAAAAGCGAGCGCGTCAGACCAAAATATCTAGCGTACATTTTCACGGAGTTCGGTCATTTTCTTGCTGTACTCTTACTGTACTCCTACTCTTGGGACAAAACTCGACGTGTTTGGTCTCTACTTCTGTTTTGATTCATTTAAATATATCAATTTTAACTTAAAAATTACCCTACCTTTATTGTTAAGTGAGCAAACCTCCGTTTTAGGTAAAGTTTTTTGAGTTTATTTTTCCCTCTAGAGTGCAAAATAAACAAACCGCTGTTTACAAAGATACCAGCTCTGTCGACGTGTTTTTAGCTGAAATTGGCCTGTCGCCTATATTGTTCTTTTTTAATTTACAATCTATCCGACTGGCATAATTTTAGAGTAAATTACATGTAACTATAAATGTTCTTGTAAATACGTGAGTGAGAGCTAAATAAAACCTTCGCACACATAAAATATTCGAAACATGTCAGTTGTCGCAAGAAAATACTCGCTTGTGCATGAACCTCGTGTATACATTCGGTGTTATGCTCGGTTGCTTTTAATAGATTTCTACCACTGTCACTGTAATTAAAATAGCATGTTTGTGTAGTCCACCTGTTTACAAACAACCGACTGGAAGAAATTACGCCGTTAGTTACTGGCGTAAAATCTTACATATAAACACAGCTGACTGGAAGAAGTTATGCCGTTTGACGACATTTGACCTGACTCACTTTGGTCGCTGGAAAATTTTCTACTGATACAGCTTGCAAGAGACCGACAAACTTGTTGAGTTTTCATGACATCGCATCTATGACCTTTGACGTAATAAAGAAACGAATAGGAAATTTTCTTTCTGTGTGGGCATTAAATGGTTGACAAAAACTTTGCTGGGTTCGGCTTCTCAAAGGTTGCGATTTCCATATCTGCTCCCGCTTCCTGCCGTCTCCAGCCCCTGTTCTCCCTGGCGCTCACCCCACTCCACTAATGTAGAACAAATAATTTGGGGCGACCAAAAGATTTGATCCGGTAAATTGGCCGCACAAAAGCTGACAAGGGATAACGATTTACGCCTTTACTACGGCTTAAAACTTCATAGGTATGGGGTGTAATTACCATCAAAAATAAATGTTTAATTATGATATCCACAATTTCAGTTATGACATTGAGATTTGCAATTGTGCTATTCCAATGTGACGCCTTAATATGCTATTTGGTCCTTGTGTTATGACATTATGCTATCACATTTGACTATTATGCTTTTACAATGTGCTGATTTGTCACTGTACCTTGGCGTTCGGCTGTTACACTTTGCTATTTTGCCATTGTATTCTAGTATTCTTCAATTTTGACATAGGGAATAGCAGTTTTTCTGTTGTGATTTGTCATTTTCATAGCGTGCGTTTCGTTATGGTGTTTTGTCAAGGTGACATGCAGTTCGGCATAACACTCAGAAACGAGTTTCGGACAAGATAAATTATTTCCTGCCAAAATTATAATTATGTTAATTTATTTCTTCTCCGTTGCCCTGTCTTGGTTGGAAACATGGCGGCTTTTCGCGAAAAAGCGGTGAATTTATAATTATTAGAAGAGGCGACCCGTGTTAATAGGGAACACACATCCCAGGGTCCCGAAAATGGTCCTCCAAGGTACGGTGCAGTAGCTAGTGCAGTGAACGGACGGAAAACCGACGGACATGTACTGGAAAATTCTCGAAATTTGTTTCAGCCGTACACGGCTCGCGCAAGGTCAAACAGTTTCTCAAGCAGCAGCAGACAGCAGTCAGCGTCGTCAGCTCCAACTACTAAACGAAGGAAACGGAACACAACAGAAGTCGGAAAACAACAGAAGTGTTCTTCAAACGAGATACATGGACCCACGATGTACTGCATGTAAGCAATATAAGCATGTAAGCGCTGGTCACGGCTGCACGCGTTTAGAGTTCGCCTCGGCAATTTCAACGAAAATCTCCGCTCCAGTCTTCTCCACAAGCCACATCTCACGATAAATGATTTCTGGAACGTATGTGCGCCCCTTCTGTTCGTATGTAGTCCGTTTAGAGCTCCATTTTGGAGTAATTTTCATCGCAATCCTTGGAACCGTTCAAGCATCACGACCCTCGCAGAGTCAACGTAGCGGAGTTACATCTCTTCACGGATTCTTTTCTAACGAAGTGACACACTCTTTCCCTTTACGATGGCCGTAGGCTATCCAAAGAGAGGGAGAAGAGCTGGCGTGAAGACAAGAGCCGAAGAAGCTAGGAAACAGTTTAACATTCCTGTGATTTCGTCCCCGTGTTTTCAGTATGCAAATCTGCATTTGACGCGAGGAGTGAATTTTAATAACCTTATCGCAGTTTCCAAGACGAAACCTAGCCATCAAAATTAAACCGAGCGTCAGTCCATTTCGTCCCTAGAGTAATGCTAGCGAATACTATGTCCTTAGTTCCGAAGCTAGATGAGGTTCAAAAACTCTTGTTACGGCTAAACGTTCAGGTCGGATGCATCGTGGAATCTTGGCTGAAACAACATATTAATGACTCTGTTGTAAACACTGATGGTTATAATATCGTCCGAAAGATCGATCCTCTCACGAACATGGCGGCGTATGTATATAACATTCAAGATCATATCAAGTTCGAAATCCCCGAAAATTTACAATGCTGCAACGATCACGAAATAATATGGCTGAAGCTTAATCCACCAAGAACCCCTTGCGGGTTTTCGTGTATAATATTTGGCCTTGTTTACTACCCCGGTCGGACTAGTCCCGCAGAATCCGATCCCCATATCCTGAATGACCATCTCTTCGAAAGTCTAACTTTGGCAGAAGCTGCACTTCCCAACTGTGGGATTATTCTCACAGGAGATTTCAACCGTCTCAATACAAGCCGCCTGCAAGCTCAAGCAACTCGTGAAATTCCCTACGAGAGGGAACGCAACGCTCGATTTATTTTTAACTAACATGGGTGATCATTTTGCAACTCCTGAGCCGTATCCACCCTTTGGGCTCTCGGATCATTGCACAGTTTTCGTAAGACCTAAGGAACGAATCCCGAACCAGAAAACAAGGAAATCCATCTCAATCAGGGACAAACGGGACAGTAACAAGGCCGTTATTTTAGGAACATTGACTAGTCATGCGTCACATATCAACCGTCCTGCGAGGAAAAGTTTAAAGTCTTCAGTAATCTAGTGGACACTGGCATAAACAATATCATGCCCGAAAGGTCAATTCGCATTTACCCAAAGGATTGTCCCTGGATGTCAGTTAGGCTAAAAAAGCTTATACGCATGTGCCAACAAGCCTTCTGTTCCAACAGGCATGGCCTGGCATATAAGTTCTATAGAAACGCTGTTAATAAAGAAAGGAAACTATGCCAAGGGAAATACTACGCTTCCAAAGTCCAAGATCTTAAAGGTGTAAGCCCTCGTTCGTGGTGGGAAGAGGTTAACAAGCTTAGTGGCGCAAAGAGTCAGAATGTGAACCTACTAAACGCCCTAAACGTCCCGGACTTGGAGAATTTGTCCGCGCCTGAAATCGCCAACGGTATCAATGAGGCCCTATTAAAACCGTTGCGTCAATTTTAACCATTAAACCGAGAGCAGGGTGTTTACCCGCTACCATTAAAGGACAACCCGGTGTTTCTAGAAGCCACCCCAGAGCGAGTCTATGGAAATTTGTTACACCTGAATAAACACAAGGCCCCAGGCCCCGACGGCCTGTCTAACTGGTTCTTAAAGGAGTACTCGGAACTGCTATACCAACCAATAGCTGACATTCTTAACTCATCATACAAAGAGCAGAAATTACCATCTGTTTGGAAGCACGCGGACGTTACTCCACCCCGAAAGTAAGACAAGTCGTAGATCCCAAGAAAGAACTCAGACCGATCTCGCTAATCGCATCGCTTTCCAAGGTTGCAGAGGACTTCGTAGTATCAGATTACATAATACCAGCCTTAGAGAGGATAGCCGATTCAAACCAGTTTGGCACCGTATCAGGTTCATCCACTGTCTTCGCTCTGTTAAGTATGATCCACGAATGACCCCAAGCAACAGACGGAAAAAGCGCATCTGTGCGTGTTTTCCCCTTCGATTACCGCAAGGCTTTTTATTTTATTGATCACGGAACTCTGGCGGCCAAACTCAAGGAAGTCGAGATCCCCAAAAAATCGTTAACTGGATCCTGGATTTCCTGTCATATCGGTCCCAGAGGGTGAAACTCAGCCGAGAATGTTTGTCTGAATGGGGAGCGGTACCAGCAGGTGTCCCCCAAGGGACTAAATTGGGGCCGTGGCTTTTTTTGCTTATGATCAACGACCTCTTGACCCCCAGTGCGCTCTTTGGGATGTGGAAGTACGTGGATGATACCACCTTGTCAGAAAAAGTACCGAAGGGGCAACAAAGTAGAGCACAAGAAGCAGTAGACCACGTTTCCAACTGGTCAGCGGAAAATTTATTCCAGCTAAACCTTGAGAAGACTAAAGAGCTTACCATTAGCTTCCGTCGTTCCCCGGAACACTTCGACCCAGTCACAGTTGATGGGATACAGATCCAAGCAACAACTTCTAGCAAGCTTCTCGGCCTTATCATCAACAACACACTAACATGGAACGATCACGTTGATAGTTTAATAAAGAAAGCAGCTGGGAAAATCTATGTCATTGTGCAACTTAAACGTGCGTGCGTTCCAGCCGAAGATCTTGTCTCCTACTACTGCGCATGTATTAGATCTTCCCTTGACTACGCTTGTCCAGTTTTCCATTTTTCTCTACCTCAGGATTTACAGTCGGAGTTAGAAAGTGTTCAGAAAAGAGTTCTGGCGTGTATTTTTCCTAGAATGCCGTACAGGGAAGCGTTGGAGCGCGCCTGTTTGACCTCTGTCAGGGAACACCACGAAGACATTACAAAGTCTTTATTTAGATCAATCAGTAGAATCAGGACAGTAAACTACATCACCTAATTCCTGAAGCCTACAGCCCTCATTATAATTCCAGGCGCCAAAGAACGCACAATGTACCAGCAGCCAAGACAAAGCGTTTTGCTAATTCGTTTTTCGTGAAGTGTGCGGCTGTAAACAACTCAAATTTGAGATGAATGAGAACCCCTTTTAATAGAACTTTAAGCCATCATATTTATAATTGTATATTAGTAGCTTGTAAATAAATACGCAATTCAGTATTTTACTGCGATGTGATTTAATAACAAACCAACCAATCTATTATTACGAATTTTTTGTCTCACATATAAAGGGCAGATAGCAGTCCCTTGCAAGTCGTTTAAAATCCAATTGCAACAGCCCGGTCTAGGCCGCAAAAAAATTTGCTTCAACAGTAAGGTCAACGCAACGGAAGTCAAGACGAAGCTAAAAGAAAGCTACCCTAAGTTAAATGCTGGTGGAGGATTCGAAATACTACGACGAGGTCTGAGCCCTTCTGAATTAAGCATTATTCCTCCTCCAAATTCAGGATGCACTGTAAACTTTTTACGCGACTGTGCAGGATTGGGACAAGCAATCGCCTACATAAGACCTGTACAGTGCAATCTGAACCAAGATCCCATCGAGGCGGTTTTAGAGGATTGCCAGGTGTGTACAATTTTACAGGTTAAGACTGTATCTATCTGACAAATCGCCTTAACTTTTTAACTCCAGAAATGAAGAAGACATTTGTAGGTTTATTTTTGGTTTGCAATTACGTTGATGCATGTTACCTTGACAAAACAACATAACGAAACGTACGCTATGAAAATGACAAATCACAACAGCAAAACTGCTACTCCCTATTTCGAAATTGAAGAATACTAGAATGCAATGGCAAAATAGCACAATTGCATATCTCAATGTCATAACTGAAATTGTGGATATCATAATTAAACATTTATTTTTGATGGTAATTACACCCCATACCTATGAAGTTTTAAGCCGTAGTAAAGGCGTAAATCGTTATCCCTTGTCAGCTTTTGTGCAGCCAATTTACTGGATCAAATCTTTTGGTCCCCCCAAAGTATTTGTTCTACATTAGTGGAGGGGGGTGAGCGCCAGGGAGAACAGGGGGCTGGAGACGGCAGGAAGCGGGAGCAGATATGGAAATCGCAACCTTTGGGAAGCCGAACCCAGCAAAGTTTTTGTCTACCATTTAATGCCCACACAGAAAGAAAATTTCCTATTCGTTTCTTTATTCAAAGGTCATAGATGCGATGTCATGAAAACTCAACAAGTTTGTCGGTCTCTTGCAAGCTGTATCAGTAGAAAATTTTCCAGCGACCAAAGTGAATCAGGTCAAATGTCGTCAAAAGGCGTAATTTCTTCCAGTCAGTTGTGTCTGTATGTAAGATTTTACGCCAGTAGCTAACGGCGTAATTTCTTCCAGTCGGTTGTTTCTAAACAGGTGGACTACACTAACATGCTATTTTAGTTACAGTGACAGTGGTAGAAATCTATTAAAAGCAACCGAGAAAAACACCGAATGTATACACGAGGTTCATGCACAAGCGAGTATTTTCTTGGGACAACTGACATGTTTCGAATATTTTATGTGTGCGAAGATTTTATTTAGCTCACGCTCACGTATTTAGAACAACATTTATAGTTACATGTAATTTACTCTAAAATTATGCCAGTCGGATAGATTGTACATTAAAGAACAATATAGGCGACAGGCCAATTTCAGCTAAAAACACGTCGACAGAGCTGGTATCTTTATAAACAGCGATTGCATTCAGTGATTATTTAGTACTCTAACGAGAAAAATAAAATAAAAAACTTTACCTAAAACGGAGGTTTGCTCACTTAACAATAAAGGTAGGGTAGTTTTTAAGTTAAAATTGATATATTTAAATGAATCAAAACAGAAGTAGAGACCAAACGCTTCGAGTTTTGTCCCAAGAGCGTGTGATTTACAGTAGGAGTACGGCAAGAAAATGACCGAACTCCGTGAAAACGCACGTTATATATTTTGGTCTGGCGCGCTCGCTTTTCACGGGCCAAAGATAATATTTTTACATGATAAAAACAAAGAATTTCTCGTCGAAAAGAGCTCTTGTATTTTATGTACATTCGTATACCCCTGATGTTATGGTGGTCTGAAATATGGCAAAATTAAGCGTACAAACGGAATAGAAAATATAGTGTACTTTACGCGGGTGGTTACAAACGAAAAAAAAAAAAAAAGTTCAGTTGGAGATGAAATATAGTTAGAAAGCTGCTCCAAGGGATGAAAAACAACTTATGAAAAAAAAAATCCAAGGTAATTTTTCGTTGGCTTGAAGGAGCGTTGTGAAAAATGCACTGCCGGCCCGATAGAAATTATGCAAATTAGGTACGTTTTGGCCGATTTCGAACTTTCGTATTTTTTTGCCAAAATAAAGACTCGCTAGAACTCTTGAATGTCATTTTTGAAAACAGTTCACCAAAAGGGTCTTTTGGAGGAAATTTAAAAAAAGCTGAATTTTTGCTTCTGTCGCCGAATTCTTGAAAATTACTGACAACCTCTCATAATAGCATAAAAAGGAAAAAAAGGAAAGAAAAGAAAAGAATGAAAATTACATCGAAATACTGGTAGGGGTAACAATTGTTGGAGTTTAAGTCTGTCCTCTTTAAAAATCCTTCATAGCTAACAACTGTTCAGCGAGGTGGCGGTAGCTCGCGGTAGATATTTACCAAGCTGCAAAACGGCGAATTAAATATCCACCACTAGCCACCGATACTGATGTGAGTAGTTGTTTTGGTTTATACTAAAACAGTGGGATAAAACAGAAGAAATTGATTTTTTTAACTTATTTATACCTGCAACTATTATAATGCTTTCGGGTGCAAAGGTTACATAACCTTAGATATCGATATATAAAAAAAGTTGTTGAATCAAATCGCTCGAAAAAATAGCATACAATGAACGTGAAAGAAGCATCACACAAACTTCCTCTTTATTCCGTTGTGAAAGATCCATGTCCGGATATAATGTAATACTAATCACCTGTATATTTTGGGCCCTTATATCAGAGTATGAGAAAAGAAGTAACAAGTTTTTAACGAGCCTCTTATTTTCTGAACTTTGTTGTTGTATACCATGCAATTACAAATATTTCAACTTATTTCTGATAGGCGGTTGAACAACAACCAGCTGAGGGATTTACCATCGGGAGTTTTCAGTAACAATACCAAGCTGGAATATCTGTAAGTTTGGAGTCTTTCTTAATATTGGTGTAAGGGGAACGCATGGAATCCAACCTGGAAAGTAGGCATTTTGATGCGTGGGTGCTGTCTCATCTTATGGGTTATATCCTAATAGAGCGGCATTAACACTTAGACTTAGAAATGTCCTTTGAGACAAGCATTGGTTTCGGAAAATTCGTTCCGTGATCGATATCCACAAAGAAAAAGAAATTGTAAACAGGGGCTTGAGTAACAGCTAGCTGAATGACTTGTCACGAGACATTTTCAGCAACAATACTCACCTGGCTTGGCTGTAAGCTAAGATTAATAAATTATGTTGTGTGCATTTCATTTTAAAAGGGCAGTGATTTCCTAACAGGGACTTACAATGATATGTCGATGATAAATATTACTATTCGTCATTAGCCGTTTTGAA